TGTCGCTGGTGGGTTTTCGTCCTCAATGCATTCCTTTTCTTTGAACTGCCTTCAGTCCCCCGCACCCTCAGCTAAGCTGCTAAACACAGCACCATAATGCAAACACTAGAGCTGCTGAGGCTAGCTGAAAGTCCACGCTTGCCCGGTCGGTACTATCGCTAAGGTCGAGCTTCTTGGACTTTGTCGGGATACTCGGACTCACCATGCACAACGTCATGCTGCAATCCGAATGGTTTCGATGCGGACTGGTGTTTTGTGGAGGACGAAGCGTGTCAGTCGTCCAACTGGGGCTATTGTGCTCCGGTTACAGAGCAGGGATGTGCATGCCAAGAGTCGTGGACATATGGTGGCTCGACTTGCACATCATACTGCTGCAATCCGGACGCTGATGTTCGAGGAGACTGGTGCTATGTGGTCCAGCAAACTTGTCAAGGAGCGTCTTACGGCTATTGCGGCACAACGTCTACCACGACTGCTGCCATGAGCGAAACTACGACAACCGCTGCTGGCAGGTTGACATGGCAAGGTTGCCGCTGTCTTGGGCCAAGCCGTCACAGTCACCATCGCATGAATCACATGTCACACTTTCAACACATCACATGAGCAAAAACGAGCATCGCTGCTCACCAAGGTTTGACTTCCTGGACTTTGTCGGGATACTCGGACTCACCGTGCACAACATCATGCTGCAATCCGAATGGTTTCGATGCGGACTGGTGTTTTGTGGAGGACGAGACGTGCCAGCAGTCCAGCTGGGGCTACTGCACACCCATTACAAAGCAGGGTTGTGAGTGTCGGCAGTCTTGGATGCATGGTGGCGCCACTTGCTCGTCGTTCTGCTGCAACCCTGATGATGACGTTGCAGACTGGTGCTATGTGGTGCAGGAGAGCTGCCAAGGTTCGTTTTGGGGCTACTGCAATGTGACTCGATCCACAACACTTGGCACGACCAGCACAACAACCACCTCAGGGAGGGTCACACTGAAGGGCTGCGCATGTCAGCGGCTGAATTGTTCTCTTCTTGTTGGATCTGTTCATGCAGCAAAGACGACGGGAGACTGTCGCAGTCTTACACCTCCGCCAGGAATCAACTCAGTTGTTCATGTGTGCTGTCATGCTGCCCTTAAGGTCGGGCCACTTGGACTATGTCGGGGTATTCACCGTGCACAACATCATGCTGCAATCCGGATGGTTCCCAGGCGGACTGGTGTGCTGTGGAGGACGAAGCGTGTCAGTCGTCCAACTGGGGCTACTGCGCTCCGGTCACCGAGCAGGGATGTGCGTGCCAAGAGTCGTGGACACATGGTGGCTCGACTTGCACATCATACTGCTGCAATCCGGACAATGACGTAGCAAACTGGTGTTACGTGGTGCAGGAGAGTTGCCAGAGAGCCTCGTGGGGATACTGCTCGGCAGGAGGATCTTCCGCGGTTACCACGACCACGACGCTGCAAGGCATTGTACGGCTGACAACACGTGGCTGTGCATGCTTGCAGTCCTGGACGTTTGGTGAGCATGAACCATGTCTTGATCACTGCTGCAATCCCGATGGTGATGCTTCCGAATGGTGCTTCGTTGCCAACCAAAGCTGTCAGGGCTCGACGTGGGGATACTGTGAAGGCGAAGAGCTGACGACAGTGACCACGACGTCTGGGGCAGGAGGTCTGCCTTCCACTGTGAGAGGCTGCTCTTGCCTGCAGTACTGGTCACTGGCCGGACAGATTCCATGTTCTACGTACTGCTGCAATCCTGACGGTGACATGAGTCCCTGGTGCTTTGTGGCTGACACCACATGCGAGGGTGCAAATTGGGGGTATTGTTCGAGCAATGCAACTATCCCGCAGACTCCTACAACCACGACAGCGTCGGAGCCGGTGCAGCGATTCACGGTGGAGGGTTGCCATTGTCAAAACTTGTGGACGCTGCCTGGCCATACTCCCTGCTCAACATCTTGCTGCAACCCCAACAACGACACCAGAGACTGGTGTCTTGTATGGGATCAAAGCTGTCAAGGGTCATCATGGGGCTACTGCAGAGACGGAAGTGAAATCACAACCACCGCTTCGCTTGCGCCAAGGAGCACCGCAGAAGGATGTGCCTGCAAGCAGTTCTGGTCTTGGGCCAACCACGATCCATGTTTGTCTCATTGCTGCAATCCTGATGGTGATGTGGCGAACTGGTGCATTGTTGTTGATGAAGTGTGCCAGGGGTCAAGCTGGGGGTACTGCGCTGCAGAAACAACTTCTTATGAAAGCAACACGACGCCCGTGCATGCCGCTGCAGGCAGAGTCACTGCCAACGGATGTGCCTGCCAGACAGATTGGGTCTGGCAAGGGCAGCAGTGCCTGCAGTCGTGCTGCAATCCTGATGGCGACGTGGCAGACTGGTGTTTTGTGGTGGATAGTCTCTGCGAGCGAGGCAGCTGGGGATATTGCACGCCGGATCTGCAGGCGGTTGCCGTCACCTCCACAACGACGGTCGCAGGTCCGACGGCAACTGTGACACAGACTGCGATGCAAACAGATACGCTGACGACCTCAACCAGCATCACCTTGTCAGCTACATCAGTGACGGCCACTACTCGCAGCTCCACCAGAACATCTAGCCTGACGACGAGTGTAACTAGCATCACAACGACTGGCAGCTCCGCCGGAACATCTAGCTTGACGGCGAGTGTAACTAGCATCACAACGACTGGCAGCTCTACCGGAACATCTAGCCTGACGGCGAGTGTAACTAGCACCACAACGACAGGCAGCTCCACCGAAACATCCAGTGGCACTGAAACATCTAGCCTTACACCCAGTGCGACTAGCACCGCAGCCCGCAGTTCCACCGGCACATCGAGCATTACGTCCAGTGCAAGTAGCACAGCAACCATCCACAGCGCCACCGAAACATCAACCCTCATGCCCAGTGTGACTAGCACTGCAACGACCCACAGCTCCACCAGAACATCGAGCGTTACGTCCAGTGGAACCAGCACAGTTTCGTGGACATCGAGCACGACCGAGTTCGACAAGGTGAGCTCCACGGCTTCGGCATCAACAGACAGTGCTAGCAGTAGTCCGCCCGCGACAGTTGGCATTGATCTTCCTTCAACCACGAGCCGTTCCGACGCCAGCGTCACAGGTTCAATGATGCTATCGCTGCCAGATTGCGGCAGCTTCATCAGCGAGCCTGGCAGTCAGGCAGCCATGGAGAAAGCACTGGCCACGATCTCGGGCACTGCTGCATCAGCCGTCCCCGCCTCGGAGGTTTTCAACGGAAGTGGTTGATGAAGCTTTTTGCACCATGCGCCACTCCATGTTCCATCTTCCTTCTTGTTCTGAGGTGAGCGCGGTTTTGAGCTGCGCGCGTCGTCTGACTGAAGCAGGGCGCCGGTTGCAAGAAGTTGTCAATGTTGCTTACACCATCGGCTTGGACGTCTCGGAGGCCTCGGAGATTAAGGGGCAAGCTGTGATGGCTGCCCTGGGAAGCGTCACAGTGGAGACAATGACCGCCGTGGTAGAAAGCTCTCTGGCCGCCGCCAACATCACGGTCCAAGTTGCTGTGGTTAGTTCGACCCTGAGAGTGACCACAGTGTGCCACAGCAATCGCAATGTCATACGCTGATTGCATCTTGTGAGTTACAAGAGCCTAGTCTGCTCATGAGTATGCTACAGTAGAGTGCGCTACTGCCTGTAGGTTTGAGTATAAGCTAATGCAACCTTGCCTGCGTGGCTTGCAGCCAGTACAGTGTACTGCAGGTGTGACCGAGCCCCAGCTGGAAGTGCCTGACGTTGTGGTCGCAGAAAATCCCGACCTTCTGTCCGCCGCTTCCAAGGTGAGAGGTTTGTGAAACGATGGTGGCTTGGTAGCCTTAAACCCTAAACCCTAAACCCTAAACCCTAAACCCTAAACCCTAAACCCTAAACCCAGGTTTGGTTTAGGGCTCCGACGGCCTGTTCACCCCCGCTTCTTCCTGGCCCTCGCAGGCCGAAAGCCTCGCACCTGCCACTCTTGGGGGGGGGGGGGGGGGCGGTGGGCAGTGCCGGGCACACCCTGGAATCATCCGGTTTTTACAGTGCTTCCTGGCCTCCGCATGCCGAAACCCTCGTGCCTCCCACTCTTTTGGGTGGGATTGCTTGTGGCGGGATCAAGTTCCTCCGGTTTGAAACCCGGTAACTTAAACACCTAGATGTATCACAAGACCTGGGCCGCAGCGCATGTTCGTCTGTTTCTCGTGGTTTTGGTCTGCAAAGCTGTTTCACAAGCAAAAGCTCCACACCCTGAAAGTATCGCAAGCAGTCTGTTGCTGCTACTACATCCCTGTCCCCGGCGTGCGTGAACAGCCGGTCGGAGCGTTGTTGAGACTTAGCATTAGGCTTGCTGCTGAGAGTCTCGACGGCGATGTTTGTGCGTGGCTTGAGGTCGCAGCTGCCAGTGTTTGGAGTTGGTGTGCCCTCGTTCAGAAAGTCTCAAAAACTCCATGGCCGGGATTGTAAAGCTTTTTGGAACTGATCTGCAGCTTTTTCCCAGGTCCTGCACTTCCCAAGCATGTGGGCGCTGCTACGAGCCATCAGCAGTGCTCTCTGAATCCTGGGCAATGGGCCTCTTCGAAGGGAAGTGAGGTTTCACCCGATTTTTCTCATGAGACTTCTGCGGGTACTTGCCTGTTGAGCGCTTTAAGAGGCTCAACTCAAGGCGACAGCCCTAGCCACACCCGTCTGGCCGACTGGGAAGCTGTATAGGGCAGTCTCGCTGCGGCAGCGATGTCGCACCAACTAATTGTACAGAAGCGGACTGAAGCGGTGACAGCTGCCAGCCTTTCACATTGTCCTACAACCTGTGCGTGGTGCTATTTCTTGCCGCAAGCTTCAACTTGTTCTCCCTGAAATCTTGGATGTGTCTCTCGCATGCGCTTGGGCAGGAGCCTATGAGCCACAAGTTCATCTGGAGCAGCCGCACCTTTGGAGGCAACGGGGCAAGCGCCAATTGAGGGTCAGGGCTTCGATCTGGCAGTGCGATCCTGGTCCAAAACGCTAGGCTAGGCTAAGAAGTTTGCACCGTTGTTGTTTTTCCCGTTCCTATCAGTCTTTGGTTTTAATTTAAGTCGTAACGTATCTACTGTCATTGGAGCAGAAGCATGGAAACTACACAAACCGCAGTAGGACATCTTCTAGTTCGACTGTGCTTTAGGAGGTCTGCAGCTGGCCTTTGCATTGTGTGTCTGCTTCCTTCCGGGACTCTGGGCTTTGGGACAGGATGCTTTCAACCGTGTGTTCTGTGTGGCTTCGGGGTTACTGCCAGCTGCAGCCGTGGCAGGCTATGATGCTGAGAGACACTGCCTTTCTGTTGCGCCGCCAGCCACTGGGTTGATGTGCAGGCACTAGCTGTTCTTCAGCGTTGGCCCGAGACAGCATTGTATGTCCCACCGCTCTTCATGTTGGGGACAGGGACCTGGTTCGAGCTCTTCGTCCTTTGATCGTGTGGGTTGCTTCAGCATCCGTAGCCCTGACAATCAGAGTCTCGCATTTCGGTCGCGAACTGAGGAGTTTCGTCGTGGAGGTGCAGAGGAGCCGTTTGCTTATCATCCCACGCATTACCTGCAGCCAGGCAGCCATTGAGCTCTTCCGAGGGGTTTGAAGGGTTTTTGTGCTAACATCACCGTTGCTGTCCACTCCAACGTAACCTGGACCTGGGGCTTGGGACAAGCAAGACCGTCCTCCGAGGCAGTCATGGGCCATTCACCGCTTCATCGACGACCGTCGCTACTGGTATCGTTATACAGTCCCTTCGTCGGCATGCCCAGTCAACTGTAGCCATGTTTCGGAGCCGACGGTTCATGCCTGCGATGTGCGGCTGAAGCTACGTTGTCCTTTTGAGGACATCTCAAACCCATCGACCCTCGAGTCGGTATGAACAACTAGGAAGCTTGACTTTTGCTTCTAGAGCTACAGCGACCTGCAGCACCCTTGAAACACCGTAGCAGAGAATCTCGAAAGCCTTAAAACCATAAACCATCCCAGGAGTGGGCCACACTACCCCACCTCCTGCCCTTTGTCTCCCTTCCCTCGCTCGTGGCGTCGCTTGGGACCTTGACCCGTGAGCGAGGTCTCTTGGCGTCCATCTTGACCTTGGCTTCGGGGGCTTTTCGTCGTGGTGCAGCTGATGGTGTTGATGGCTAGTACATGCGAGTATCATGATCCCGAGATGACGGTGAGGGTGATGATCACGAAGTCTAGTTGCGGTTGCGGCTCCTTCCGCTTTCTGCACTTGGTGCGGACGGATTTAGAGGGGTCGTTCTGATTGGGTTCCGGTGGAGACATCTTGTTGAAGAAAGGCCTGTTTTGGAACGGATGGGCTCCTAGTTTGTAACCGCGGTCATGTACTTGTAAAAGCGATTTTCTGTGGCAGTTCTGCTTCGGTGAAAGTTTCGACTTTCTGCGGAACACTCGGCCCTCTGTCTATGTCTATATCAATGAAACAGCCAAAGATAGTATCTCCACTATCAGCTCCATGAATGTGAGGATGATTATAATATGATTACCTAAAGCATCATCCATGCTGCAAGTTCCCGGAATGGTACATCACAACTGCTGTCCGCTTCCGTAACTCAGCGGAACCGTGGTTTTTGATTCACCCCCGAGCCGTTTGCAGGGCTCGCGGTCTCGGCGCTCATGGCGCAGCATCATGATCCTCGGCAGCAGTGCCCATTGGGTTTTTGATAGGAGCGACTTGGAAGGGGCTGAAGGTTTGGGGGTTGATGGTGTCTGGGAGCTTCGTAAGGCTGTAAATGATCTAGATATTTCCAGAAAAGGTTCTGCTTGGAGTCCTCGTAGCTAAGCTGGTTTCCGGTCCGGTTCAGCATGAACCCCTCGTAAGACCCTCGAGCTTCGAGGACCTCGCAAAACCGCCGGCTCCCTAAAGCCATGAGCCTGCGCTGGAGGCTCTTATGGTCACCGACGCCTTGAGCTGGTGGCGAGCTGCACTTGCGGATGCGTTAGCGCAGGGTGAGCCATGGGGAAACAGGAGGCCGATCGCCATTCTTACTGCTATTATCATTGTCACTACTACCACTGTCACCACTACTTTTATTGTATAAGTATTGCTTGCTAGCCACTAGTCTGAAGCTCTGGATCCAGCAGAGTGAGAACATGCAAAACCACCGACGGAGCACAAACGAAAGACCAAGGCACGACGGCCTAAACCCCAAACCGATTTGTCCTTTCCCTTCATAAACTCCTTCCCCAAAACCAACCAGAACAAGCCGATGCCTGCACCCGAATCCCTTTCGATGTTGCTGCTTGTCTTGAGAAGCATAGGAGGCTCACCCACGATTCATTTGCTACATCCCTTTCGGTTCAGGGTTCAGGGTTCAGGGTTCAGGGATCATGCTGCCTGATTCGAAGGTTGCGCGGAGACTCTTACATTCCCAGGAGGGTCTGATGATACGAGCATGCCATGTTCTGCACGGTGCCGCGGGGTTCTTACTGGTGTGCTGCTGACTGCAGCCTGTGTTTCGTGATTTGATGACTGGTGCATATCTGAGCTGCCTCAAAGCACCGAAGCGCTCTTGGAACTGTCTTCGGCTTTTCAGATGATGACTCGCCCTTTTCAGCTTTGGCTTCCGTTCGCTGAATGGCGACGCCGGCCAAAGTGCCAGGGCTGTAGTGACACGTTAGCCGTATGTTCTTCTGTTTTCAAACCCGAAACCCTAAGCCCTAAACCCTAAATCCTAAACCCTTACTTGTAGGACGCAAACTCTCGACTCCTGAACCGTTGTCCAAAGCGACCCCCCTGAGCCCGAAAAGCACAAACCCTCCTAAAGACCTCGAAAAGCTTGTTGGACGAACCTAAACCCCAAGCCCCAAACCCTAAGCCCTAAACCGGCCCCGCTGCACCTGGTAGCTCAAAGTTAGAATCACCTCGGCGACTCTTCTCGCGGTGCCTTCCCTGCAGTCAAATGGTATTACAGTAGGGTATAGAGGTTTTCTGTGCGAACTAGAGATCCTTGCAAATAAGGTCTCGAAGACGAGCATCTTAGCAACAATGCATGCAGTGATAGCATCTCACAATGAAAAGATCCCAAGCTAACGGACCACAAGTGCAAAGTATCAGTACGACTGATACCAGTATCAATGCCTGTGTAGTGGTTGGATATGACTATGGTTTGAGCGGTCTAACCAGCAACAAGAACTGATGCTGCCATAGCCCTTAGGCAAGTTGCCGCATCATGGCAGTAAGCTACTGAGACAAAGCTCCAGCATCGACAGCATGGCAAAAAACAACAATGGAGTTGCAAACCGAAGATTGGTTGCCGTAAATACTGTTACTATCGCGAGCTTGACAGTTCTGGTTTCGGGTTGACTCAAAAGCACAAAGCTCCACAAAGGATATGGCCCCCAGCGCGGGGGGCGACCGCTTGAGTGCGACCCGGCTGTGGCTCATGTGCGATGCGAAGCCTCCCAACCCCTACAGCTTATTTTTTGACAGGGTTTGTAAAGGAGTTTCTTGGTATGGGTTCAGATAGATAAGGGTTTAATATTTCAATCGCATACACATTCCTCGTGGGTTTGTGTTGAGAGTCGGTGCTTCCGTGGAACTGCACCGGGAGCATTTGAGTCGGTTTCTTCAAATTTACCAGGGGAGGGCACCGGGGTCTTTACAGCATTCGACAATCTTACAGGCGTATGTCACCTAAACCTGAGATCATTTCTCCGAAGCCCTGTGCCTAAACAGGCCTTAACCTTGGACCTGCTATGCTCTCAGGCGCTGTCGCACTGCACTCGTGGGGGCACCATCAGTTGCTGGGCGGCACGGAAACGAAGTAAATCAGCGCACATCAGAAGACACACCAGAAACCCTACACGTTGACGATTCACTGACCATTCTTTACAGAAGTGATCTAGCCATGGGGCCACTTCACGAAGCCTCGGTGGCCCGAGCTCTGCTTGAATGGTATCGGGTACCCGCATTGATGAAAGTGTCACGAGCGCCCTAAACCGGGTTGAATGTCTTGAGGCCTCCAGATTTCCCAAAGCTAGAGCCTCATCGTGAATCGTCAGATTCTTTTTTGCACATCACGGCTATACATCTGGGCTTGTGCATGAACGCAGAGGGTTCGGTTTGTGAGCCGCAGGACAGTCGCGGTTTGAATTTCTTTTCCAGCGTGCGAAGACAGATGTTATGATGCAGATTATGCGGCTACTTTCAAATCGTTCTCGCACTACTCCTGATCCGAGCATCCAAACAGAAAGGGGGGCCCCCCC